CTTGCTGATTCAAATACTTGGAACAGAGGGAAATCTATTCTTCGGCGGAAAGCTTGTTTTCCTTTGTAGAAGGTTCTCAGTACAGAGGCGTGGGATTGACGACACTGTTTCAGGAACAAGCAGAAGACAGTTTTCTCAGGGCGAAAAGCGTGTTTTGCTTGTGCGGTGTCAGATAGTTTCATCGGTTGAAGGGACGGACCAGGCTGCGAGTCATGAGATAAGGCCAGGCACAAACAGAAAGCAGCTTTAGATTGGGTCAAGCTCAAGCCGGAAGCAGTTTCTGGGGGCGACAAGAATATTGTGCTTGTCCGGTTTCAGAATAATCCCCTCAGAGGCAACATACAGAAATCAGCTTTACGTCAGCAATGTCAAAAATTGTTGCTTGTGTTTTCGCTTTGCTAGGTAGGCTCACTATATCATCATCTTATGATCATTAGTCAGTATTAAATTGAAACTGAAGGGATGTACCGAATCCGATCTCAGGACTAAGACGGAGCAGGCTCAGCGAACCGTTTGCATCTGTACAAGCAGCGGAAGCAGTTTCATTTCAGCAAAATCAGCAATTCCTTCGTGCAATTTCTTTGCTGCTTGTGTCCTAGCAGAATGTAGTCTGGAGCAATGCGCGCGATGTTGTGCTTGTCCATTTTGAGCATGGTAGATTCAGGGCCTGACCAAGTCGGGTACTCATCTGGTGCTGTCTGGCAGAGTGCTTCGTCGACAAGTGGAGATTGAAAGCATTCTAGGTCGTCACGTTTTGTCTAAGTGGTTTGGTCCTGCACACCTTCGCTTCATATGTGGGCTGCCTCTGCTAACTGCAGGATCGCCAGCCGCTTGCTGGACTCCAGTGCCTGGGAAGCCAGTAGCTCAATTTTTCATGCACGCAGGAGACTTGTCGAATGAAGCCGGTGTTCGTGAAGCGTATTTGCGCTTAGTGCGTGACTTGCGCAGACGGCAGCATCTGACCATCTAAGACCAGATACTCATGATCATGGCGACTCCTGTCAACAGGTTCTCACATCGTGTGCTTGATCCCTACCTTGCCCACGTCCTTACAGTAGTCCATCGCAGCACGTTAATTTGCATGTGTTCAAGATAGCCGCGACGACGAGCAGAAGCAGCATCCCTGCTCATTGCACTTATACAATTGGCTGTCAGCAGCGGTCGATGCAACAGTCCGCCATGAAAAGCCATCATCGGTTTTTGGCGGCGGGTATGCCTTCCTGCATCAAGCAGGCTCGTTTGGGGGAGTTGGGTGTGCCCGGACCGAATTCAAGCCACGTGGTTTTTTACAGCAAACTTTACAGGTGAGGTGCTTCCTAATTTTAATCGGCGCAAACCAAGGCCAGGGCACCGCACATTGTCCATGCCGATGAGGCTGAGAATACTGTCGTCGGTGTCGGAGTCGAAGCAGAGCCGGAGGTCGGAGTCGGAGTCGCTGGCGGAGGTTTTTATCAGCAGCCCTGGGAATTCCAGAAGGAGTATTGGGACGTCTGCCTGGCTGAAGTGGTTTCGGCTCTGAAATACTCGAGGTCGCTGGCGGGGTCGCGGTCGGGGTCGCAGTCGGCAAAGCATCAGGCCCGATAGTTGAAAGCTCACAAGTTGGAAGAGGGAGACGGAGAGATGGAGGGACTTACTGAGAGACTGAGAGAGGGCTTGCGTCACAGTAGGCAGAAGCCGGGTTGAATGAGCCAGTGGCTGTTTGGAGGCCGTTCCGCTGTTCTGGGACCTCGAGTATGAAGAAAAAGTGAAATGGATCCCGAAGAATAAGGCTGAGAGGATGGATTTATTTGCTTCGGACGCCAAGTGCCGTGATAGAATGCCAGCAGTGCTAAGTGCTCCGAAATATTTCTCAAAGGGATCGACGCCGACATCCGAGGTACATGGCCATCGTCGAATACTTCCGCCGCCGCAACGCAGGCATCGTGACCCAAAAGGTCGAGAAGTCGCGGTCGAAGGCTGGGAGCCACAGTCTTGAATCTGAAGTCCCTACGCCAGCCAGGGTTGCGATCTTTGTCCGACCCTTTCAGGTCGCAGTCGCAGTCGCAGTCGCTGCACCGCTTCGTCGTGTTCGCGGCAAGCAGACAGTCAAGACCAAAAAGAAGTACACACGTCGTGTCGAGGATGTCATCAAGAAGGAGCAGGAGTCCACGGGCAAGGTTCTATCCATGGCCAAGTTCAAGGACCGCTTGCGCTCAACGTGCTGGCCACGGTACAGTAATTCAGAGTGTGTGCGTCCCTTGCGTCCTGTAGGAAATGGGTGCGGCGTTCTTGGCGGACGAGGAGAAGGCGGAGGGCGGCATCAAGTTCTCGACGGCGGCTTTGGATGCCTTGCGTGAGGCAGCCGAGGACCGTAGAGAAACACAACTTTGCATTTTTTGCTACCTGCGACTGAGTAGCTTCTCAGTATCATCTTAATGGGACTCGTACTATTAGCATTACCTACTACCTACTACTACTACTACTACTACTACTACTACTACTACTACTACTACTACTACTACTACTACTACTATCACCACTACTACTACTACTACTACTACTACTACTACTACTACTACTACTACTACTACTGGCTACTACTGGCACTACCACTACCCCCCTGCCACCTACGACTACACAGGACGTGATCGTGGGCTTCTTGTCGTCGCTGCAGGCTGTCGTGGACGCCAGAGGAGGTGTTGAGGCTACGCCTGCCGATGTTCAATCTTTAATAGTGGCGGCATCCCACAGCCAAGCTATCGGTGTGCTGAAAGACACACGTGCTCCGCCGCCGAAGTCGCGAGGAAGTCGGAGTCGTACTCGCCCACGCAAGTCGAAGTCCTAGTTGCCCATAGCAGACTTGCTTTCATCAACGGGGGTTTTGGCGCTGGCATCTCAAAGGTAACGGATGAGTAGCCTAGCAGGATACGGAGTCGCAAGTTGGGATTGTAAGACTTTTTTTCCAAAGTATCGGACCGATTATGCCAGAAGACTTTTCGAGATTGCCAGTGCAGTTCATCGGCCAGCCATATGAGCTGGGCCCAGCGACTGAAGTCAAAAGCCATTGGGGGGCTTTGAGAAATTGCCTTGCCTTCTTGGTCGTGTGAGCCCATTGATTACACGGGGTCAATCTTGCGGTTTGCCATTGCGTGGTTCTGGATTTATTAAGCCAGCATAAAGAATACCTTGGATTGACTTCCGAAGCTGTGCCAATGCGTTCGTTCTGACTGCCCCAGCTTCTGCAGCAACACTGCTTCCTGCAAAGCCAAAGCCAATTCGAGACTCTTCGCCCAGGCCTGACTGCACGCTGCTGCGCCTCGTCGGGCCGCTGGGTCACATTCCTTATCGATGGCGGGCTGCGGGTCTTTACTTTAGGACTTTTAGGGGTCTAGGCCTTGGGGATATAGGAAATCAGAATCAGGGTTGCTTCCGGCAAATGATGTTAAAGAAGACTTATGGTTGACGGATTTCGGAGGCACCCGATCCTAGGCGGTAGGCTCACGGCCTTAAGCCCGAAGCTTGCACCCCAACCCCGAGATGCATCTAGGGCCTGGTTACAGGAGCCTTTCAGGAATCAAACAGTGGAGTCTTAACGAGAAGGGTGATTCTGTTGCTGGATTGTGGGAAGTTTGTCGGTGTCCTACGAGGGTCCGTCAAGGTCGAATTCCAGGTGCACTAGTTTAAGGGTGATATTGCGGCAAGGAAGCTAATTTTAAGAACGCAGACGACTTGAAGCAGCAGTTTGCTTGATGGGCGTGCCATTAATACTAAACCCTATCACTTCCGGTAGTCGTTCTGGCTCCTTCAGGGAAAAAGCAACCACATCCCCTAGATAGGACCTGCCTCCGTCAGATTTCAGATTGGATATAGGATTTCTTTAGGGATGACTCCCGTGTGTCGGACGGATGATGGTTTTGTAGTCTGGCCTTCTTTGCCTACATTTACTAGGACCGTTCGCCTCAGGGGAAGCATCGGCCGTAAGTGAAACTTTACACCCTAAGTCACACATCCCCTAGATAGGACCTGCCTCCTTCAGATTTCAGATTTGATATAGGATTTCTTTAGGGATGACTC